CCAAAAAAAAAAAAAAAAATAGAACCTAGCATGCAACCAGTGTATCTTCTAAACATAACCCTTTGTTGAGAGGGTGTTTTGTTGGTTTTATTTAAAAAATCATAAAATGTTAACCTGGACATACCCTGAATATGCAGTTCTATGTAGACTATTTTTGAATGTGTTGACTTGCCCATAGAGTTAAATTTTCACCTTTTTCTAAAACATAGGGATTAAAATATCTACTAGAATTTTTATACCAACGAATAATTATTTTCAAAAGGGTAAAAGTTTGTTATGTCCACACAATTACATCTTGTATACTCTGAAGGACAACACAAGTAATGCAACTTCATTCAGTGAATGAACACTGTTAGTATAAAGTGGTCAAAATTATTTGAATTTTTTTCCTAAGTAAATTGTTATTCTAAGTTTTGTTTTAATTTTATTATTTCTCTGTGATTTACATTTCAAAAAATTGAGAAAATAAGCCATTGAGGGCAGTAGTCTCCATGATTTATCTATTTTACATGATAATTTCAACTCGCTCCTTTTTTCCTGAAGTTTTATCAAAAATGAAATATATTTGCATTACACGGTCAACTTATCATGACATACTTTTTAAGTAAGTCAGTTAAAATATAATGAACTGTGCTTTAATTATTAGTAAAGGTAATTTTCAAGATAATTCAAAAGAAGTCACAGTGTAAACATATATTAAGAAATGTCTTGCAAAATAACGTAAATTATGTAAAACAGTCATTTACAAGAAGAAAGGTAAGGATTATTTCCAGTATTAATTATGCTGTGGTACCACAACGCTTCTTTTGTAAATGGCATTAATTACAGTCTTATGGGAGAAAAGCACTAAACAAAAATACTTCAGTTAAATTGTTTCTCAAAGAAGAGGTTCAGATGTCCTTGTTTCTCCGCCTTCATATAAATTGAGTACATTAATTCATTATTTAAGATACTAATGCTCATGCAGAACATTTAAAGGTAGATTAAGGCAGTACAGCGCAGTCTTTTACAAGCAATGCCTTATAACCAAATGCATCCACCTAAAAACAAACTGAAAAATAAGCAACTACCTTAAAGAAAAGAAAAAAACAATTATTAAGCTAATGACTCCCCTAGAGGGAAAACAAATATGTAAGCAAATGTAGGGGGTGAATGGTCTAAATAAGGATTCTATATTATGCATTGAATTATTATTAGAGAAGCCATTGTCAGCTTGTATCCTATTATGTTAATAAGAACCAACAGGTGGTGTACGGGGGGACATGGTAGAACTTATCTTCTTCATGCCTTTCCAAAGTCATCTTCACAAAAATACAGTTGTCTTAGTAACACGATAATGCTAATGCCTGATACATTCTTCAAATAAATCAGTATTATATTTCCAAGTGTTACATATACTTCAAAAGAGAGATTTGTTGAAAATATAAGTCCTTGATTTGAATTTACCTACAATTTTGGTGGACTTTTCCTAAGATTGCGTAAAAATAACTGAAAATCCCATAGCAATAAAATATATTTTATTGTCTCTATTGAAGCTGGTGGCAAAAATTCTAGAACATGTAGTTTATAGTAAGCAACTCAGCTTACTTCAATAATTTAAATCAAGCACATTCATGGATTGCCCAAGTGTAAATTGACCACTCTTAATAATTCAATAATGTAATGTGAGTAAAGTCAGCGAACACTAAGATATGCAAGATTTTAAATCTATTTTAGAGAAGGCTAAAATTAATTTGTAGAAGACTGTAAAGCAGCCATTAAGTACAGAAAAGTCAAAATGTGAAACACTTTTCAAATACTAACAAAACATTCATTATTTTTTTCCAAAGGTGGTCACAATAAACAAATCCACTCCAGCTTTAGAAATCTCATTCGCTTGCTAGCTTCTGTTATTATACTCAATATCAGCATAAACTTAAGTGTGCAATGAGTTTGCTTTCAAGGACATTCATTCAGTGAATTTTCAGTGATACGTTTAAGCTTAACCGTAAAGCATGTAAGACAAAGTCCTACATGAAGTCTTAACATTCTCATTTTCTCCCTATGTTTCTGTGCCCAGTATCACCCAGGTATACCTCATTTTTTAAGTAAAAATTAGCATTTCTTCAGGGATGCCTCTGGCAGATTTGGTTTGTCAGTTACTTTAAGGAGGGGTGTTGGGAGAGGGGGAATAGAGGCAGCCAAACCCAAACAGAGGAGGAACTGATGAAAGTTAGCTCTTTTCTACACAGTGCATTGCCCATGGACCCCCACAGGAAATTCTCTCGTCACAATAAGGATTGTTGGCAAAGTGTCTGTGAATCACTCTTGCTTCCTTTCAGGCCTCTGGGATTTAAAGGGTGGGCTGGAGGAGAAAATCAACACCCAGTGTGGCCTCCTAACTGGGACAACCAAGTTGAATGCCTACGGACGAAAGGCAGCGCTCTGGACCTGGGTAGCTCTTAACTAGCTCCACTCAGATCAGGTGGGGAAAAGGACCAACCGTTTGGTCACGGCCCACAGACCCAGAGGAAACAAATGTCTGGGAGTCTCTGAACCTGGCTGGTTCCTAATAGCCCTTGAGAATTACTGCCCTGGGGCGTCTACACATTAACTCTTTCACTCTTATCACCTGCCAGCGTTCTCTCCACGCGCCGCGCCCTCCTCGCAGTGAAGCAGTGATTCATTTGGGAATAAAACGCAAACCAATGCATTACAAATATATTCTGGATTTAAGTTAATGCTGAAGCACAAATCTGATCAGCAATTTTATGTAATCAGAAGCAGTTCAACTTCTGCCGACTGGTGCCGCCAAACATCCTCCCACCCTCGGAGAGCGGGCATTTATAAATCTTACATCTTCCCACCTCCTCCCTCAAATTCCTTAATGGAACATTAGTAACGGGATCGATGCTAGTTACTTTATTAGCAAACCATCGCAGAGGCACATCTGCTGTGTTTACCAGTGCCAGACACACCATTCAAAAGTTGAGAAGGTCGGAGCCAGCACTCTGCAAGCGGGAGATGGGGTACAGTGGGAGACTGGGATGGGGAAGACTGGGGACCTAGTGAAACCTGAACTTCCGTGCATCCAACAAGCACGACCTTCCGCTAAAACCAACCGGGCTTGGGGCAGCACACTGCCAACTTCTCCAGCCTCATTGCGCCGCCTAGTTCCCCAAGTCCCTCTCTGAAAACCGAGCCCATTCGCCGCCACCCACCCCTGGCAGCCGCGGTCCCCGCCTGGGAGCGACGCGCGCGTGTGCTCAGGGATGGGGGTGCGCAGCACTTACGTCTCGGAATTTGTTCCACTGTCCGACTTCCTTGTCATACTGAGAGATTGTGGTGAGCCATTGTTTATCATCCAGAAAATTACCGCCGTCCGACCGCCCCCCGGCCGCAGCCACAGCCGCGGCAGCTGCGAGAGCCTGACTGCACCAAGCGGCTGCACACACACACAACACGGCTGACACCTTGAGCATCTGGGTTAGGAGACACAACGGGGGGGGGGGGGGGGGTTTGTCAGATAAGGGGTACGAGATCGGGGCGACCCTAGAAAACATGCATCAACAACCACCGGGATGGAGGGAGGAGGATGCAAGCAGGGACGGAGGGGTCCCCTCCCCGCAGCTTTTACCCCAAACCCAGGCACTCACACACACGCAGACCCAGGGGAAGAGAGGTGGGTATAAAAAAGGAAGCCCCAGCTGCGGCAGTCTGAGCAGGGGGGAAAAATCCCCCTAAAACGCCTCCTGGCACATCACCTTGTTGTGAGCCCGCACAGTGCTCGCAGCTCCTGCTGGAAATGCAGCCCTGCTCGGCCAACTCGCTGCTTTCAGGAGCTGCTGCACGCGTTGCCGTCTTGCGCCGTCCACTCAGCTCCCTGCGCCCGGCGCGCTCCCCCCAACTCCACCCTCCCCCTGCGCGCCGATCTCCCGCTTACTCCCCTCGGTTCACCCCTCCCTCCCCCACCTCCTAGTCTTTTCCTCTTCCACCTCCTCGAATCCCACCTTCCTCTCGCTGGATCCAAGCTGCGTTCAGCTTCGGATACGACGCTCACTTGAAGCCAGGGGATGCGGTAGCTCCTCGCCTAAGAATCCTTATCTGCTTTCCAACCTCTCCGCTCCAGAAGAGGTTCTCATGTTCGCGAGACCGCCTGCTCATGCTCTCTGATCCTGGATTCGCTTAACACAAAGCGCACTCTCTTAGATGCCAGCTCTGCAGTTTTGAGGGTGGTCAGGCAGATGTAGGAAATGAGATCTGAAGAAAACTTTATGGATCACAAAGTAAGACTCGCCTGGACGTTCTGTCCTGTAAGCCTCCTGGACTGAGCTCCACCCTAAACCAAGGCCATCCATAGTCTTGGGAGATCTTTTTAACTACAGACATGTTAAAGTTTGTTAGGAACTTCTAGATTATTACAGAGAGCAAAATTTTATCTTACATGACTGAAGTTTATTCTTTTTATTCTTTTTTTTCTCTTTTATCTAGGAGAAAATAATTACTAAATAGGGCGTTGGATACCCCTAAATTTCCCACATACGGTAGATATATTTTGTCTTTATGAAAACTCTCTAGAGACTGTATTTTGAGACCTAGAAACTGAGACCTTGAAAACTTTCAAGGCCTCCTATAGAAGAGTTTTTGAACCTCTAACATTAATTTTGCATTCCAAAACTCCATTTATGACAAAATACTCGGATTTCCTTCTCTGTTTTACAGATTCTAGATAAACTGGAAGGAAATCAGTAATTGGCTCTCTCTAAAAAGAAGCTGATGAATTTTTCCCATATACCTAGAGGAATTTAGTATTAATGAATATTACAGGCAAGTCAAGAGATTTCTGTAAACTAAAAGACCACAATAACATTATATATCTCCATTTAAATTTTTAGCTATTTCAGCTACAATTATATTTCCCAAACCTGTGACCTTTGAAAATTTCCTTTAGCTCCCAAAACTCAAAAGCTATTTTAATAGTAGCAAACTCATCTCATAGTTTCCATTTCAATCTCCTATGACACTGGTGTAATGTTTTTCAAACTATATTAAAATACAAATCAAACACAATGATTAAAGGTAATTTCGAATTTTTAAATGTAGGATTGTTTGAAATGAATATACAATATATAATGTAAATAAAAGACAAGACACTGCTATTTTTAACTCAGAAAAAGATATGTTCCTTGATTCCCCCCCGAGTTGTGCTGTGATGAATGACAGTAAGGGAAAATGGCAGAATTTACAGTTGCAATTCACAGAAGCACTGACTGATGTAAACATGTGAGATAACTTTAAGAACATTAATATGTACTAATTCTCCCTAGCCAAGGGAGCCATGCTATGAATTTGATCATATTTGAATTGTTCAGTAAATCATTAATATAATAGCAGGCCCATCCTCCATCATCATCTTTCTACATCAAAATTTGAAGAAGTAGGGCTGGCCCTAAGGCCTGCTGGTTAAAGCCAGATCTCACATGAATGACCACCAGAGAAATCACAGGCCCGGTGTCTTGAAAAACACCAGGCAAGTGCACCTGCATGCCCCAAATCCCTACAGGGAGGAGAAATGATAGAAAAGACATTACAGAGTGACCATACCCCATTGCCGAGTTCTGGGAGTACCTACTTCCCCTCTGCTTTTGTGAGTTCAGGCTCTTTCTGGCACATGAAAAAGGAAAGAAAGAACTTTCTTTTCAATTCAATGCAAGTATTTCATCTTGGAACCAGCAGATGGCATAATGGCTACATCACTTGATTACCATGTAGCCGATCACGGTTCTATTCCTGGACGTGGCAAAACTCACTCCAGGCACGTGTGTGTGTGTGTGTGTGTGTGTGTGTGTGTGTGTGCCCAGAATCCTGAGGAGAGAATGAAAAAGGAATGGCAGCATGGCCATCCCCCCATGGGGGGTGATTTCTTGCTTTCTGTCTCTGTCTGTCTTTCTGGCAAGGGCACATGCCTTATAGCAAAATCTTTAAAAAAAACAAAACTGTTTTTCATCATGTTATAAAACCTCATTCTTTTAAAATTTAAACCTAATGGGGGAAGGGCATAAATTATATGTTAGGTAAAACCCTAATGTATGGCAAAAGTCAATAATTTTTAAAAGAAAAATGACCTAACCTTTGTATACCTCTAAAAACAATGCATGCCATTCCCTATAAAATATTTGATGAAGAGTGGTGTTCTAACATTCCCTACCTGTCAGCATCTGTTATACATTTTAGCATGGTAATTGCCATCTAAGACTAACATGATCACCTTTAGATTTATGGAAGCATGTATGTTTATTTTTATATGCTCTTTTTCCAACAGATTGTATATATTTCATGACTGGCCCTGACATATTCACAGACTCTTTTCCCATCTTGCTTTCACTGGCAAATTCCCAAAATGCAGTTCCACATGGACTACTCCAAGTTGTGAACATTTTTTTGAACAAGCAATGATAACGGTACACATCTTGGGGAAAAAGCCTAGGCTAGGGTAATAAACTCCCGCTCTGACAGTAGAATAGGACTTGCAAGCAAATTATCAGTTAGAAATTTCAAAGTCAAAGAGGTAGAGTAAGTCTGCTCCAGTCTTTCATGATGGGCAGGTATTGTCTAGCTCAACCCGTACTCCTAGCAGAGCTCCTTAAACCTCCTTCCAAAGCCTTCACCATTGTCTAGGCTAAGGGATTGGGGCGGATTGGTCGAGTTAGTCTGCTAATTATGAAGTTGTGATGCTGTCAACCACAGGAAAGTCTTCTTGTCAATTTCTCTATGTAATTCAACATTTGGGGGTTTGTTTGTTTTTAAGAATTGCTTATTTAATTTCATTTAGCATCATTATTCTTCACTTTGGCCAGAGAGAGGTGCTCACACATACACACACACACGGAAAGAGAGAGAGAAAGAGAGGGAGCAAGCCACCAGGTCCAGGACTTGGACCATGGTCAACCATATGGGAGTCCAGTGGTGACACCACCTGCTGGCCCCCATATTTGGGTCTTTAATGAAGTTCCTTTCAACATTTAAAAGGTCTTGAGAGGATTCACACTTAGGTTAACAGCTTAGTTTTCAGTTAACATCTCAACAGGAATTAACGGAAAGGTTACTGGGAGAAAAACACAACAGGGAAGAATGGAAGAGTAGTATAGATAGGACGTAATATTTGGGAGGTGGAGTTGGGAATTTTGCAAGTCAAACTGGATGGGCACAGAGGGGAATACTTCACTGACAGATCCCAGCTGGGTTTCATTTCTTTATTAATTTGCTGTAGGATCTGTGTACCCTTTTTTTTTTTTTTTTTTTTTTTTTGGCGAGGTTTTTGCTATAGGGCGCGTGCACTCGCCAGAAATACAGAGAGAGACAAAAAGCAAGAAATCACCCCCCCACACACACAGGGATGATGGTCAGTCAGCAATGCAATCCCTTCTCCTCCATTCTCCTCTCAGGATCTTGGGCATGCACGCAGACACACCCGGCATGGGTTTAAGCCACCAGGTCTGGACTCGAACCGTGGTTTGACTACATGGGAGTCCAGGGACAGCCATTACGCTAACTGATGGTCCTGATGTGTGTATTCTTCAAGAGAGGGAAAAAGAGACAGAGAAGGAAAATGAGAAAGCACCCCGCAAGGGAAATGGCCATACTGCAATCCCTTCTCCTTCATTCTCCTTTCATAAGGCACTTATGCCCCAGGTATTTTAAAGGAATCAAGCCACAGAGTCCAGAACCCAAACAGCCATTGCCAGCCATGTGCATTCCAGCCACCTTAACCACTCAGTTTTAGTGAAAGTCAGCCGAGGATACTGGAGAGTTAAAACAGCAGTAAGTGGAATACGATATGTAGGGTGAAGAGGTCCAGAAAAATAAATGGCAGGGCTGAAACTTGATTTTGTGTTTCTGAGCATGCTTTGCAAAACCAGCAAGACACAGGTCTTCAGATTTCCAGCCTCTTTATTGTAACTTCAGTCATCTCATGCAAAACCATAGTTTACATCCATTACGGCAAAGCCAATTTGGGGAACTGCTGCAACTTTATTTTCATATTCATCTCTTTATCCTTTAAACTCTTAGTCAATCAACTAGTATATTATCAAATATCTGCAATATATCTTTGCTAGATTTTTAAATTATTATAGTTATAATCCAATTTGTAGACTTCTTTATTCTCATTATCAGATTTGGTGCAGTTCTAGAAAGATAAATACAAGTGGCATGGGGTCCATTTCTGATCACCTTGAGATAGGATCTATGAAGATCTATTTCTTTAAATTCACACACACAAACATGCACACAAACACTCAGAACTGTCTTTCAAAGGTTACTTTCCTTCTCAGTTACTACAAAAGAGTACTAGTCTGTTATAGTCCCTAATCATTATGAGAATATGTGAAAAAGATTGAACACACTACCTATCTTTCATGTGCCACACACAGTGCTAGGACCTTACAATCAAGATATCTTTGGGTCTACTTCACTTAGTCAAGATTTCACAGCTAGGAAGTAACAAAGAAAGCATTTTTGATGGCCTACAAAGTTCTTAAGAATGATCATGGGGCCAGCAGGTGGTATGATAGTTAAGGCACTGAACTCCCACAGGGCCAACAGAGGTGTGAGTGTTGATCCTGGCAGCTTGCTTTCTCACTTCCTCTCTACGATATGGCATGTGCCCTATAGTAAATTTTAAAAATTATAAGAAGAAATAAAATTAAATAATACTTTTAAAATAAATGTTTATGCTACATTGTTTCTATAGATTTTTCCTCTCTACATGGGCCTTTCTCTGAATCACCTGTTTATGTTGTTCAGTTTTGCTTCCCCGTATCTTTCCTCCTCCACCAGCTGCATATTTATTTAACTCTATTTCAGTAAAAGCTAGAATTTGTCGCTAACCAAAATCAGGAAAAGAGGAGATGGTTAATTTGGGGAGCTTGCTGAGCTCTTGTGGAAATCACCCCACTTCTTTGCTTAGCACCTTAATTCTTATCTCAAATGATGACCCTATTCACTAGTACCTTAAATATCAGCAATATCAAGCCAGGAGCTCAGCAGGCAATCCAACTGGTTGGCTGAAAATGAAATTTATCAAGCCTACTTCCCTTTATGTAAAAACATTTGCCAATCAAGC